TATTGGACAATGTATCACCAAAATCATCATTGTCATGTTCTTGATATTTACTGCTTTCTGATTTAGTTTGATGAATGCCCTTATCCAACCAATCCAGATTATCTTCAGGCAATATGGGTTGTTCATTTTCTCTTATCCAATCATCCAATATATCATCTTGGTGAAAAATGTGATTCAAGTCAATTGGGTTATAGAAATCATCAGTATCTCTTTGATGCATCAAATTTTTCACTTTTAATCGCATATTGTAATGCACAAAAACTAATTTATGCAATTTTTTAACTGCCAAACGGTTATGTAGTTTTGTATGAATTAATGACCATGTACTCCAATTTCGCTCGCAACTAGAGAATGTGTAGGTTTGACTCAATATTTTCACTGCAATATTTCTTAAATTTGGCGCATCTTCTATAACGGCCCCACCTCCCCCTGGGTGTACCCTAGGATTTAGCGGATCGTCTGCCCAACTCTCGCTAGGACTCACTCACTCGTATCACGTGCATACAACCGTCGACAATAAATAACATCGCAATTCACACTTACAATTTACATCGATGCATATTCAAAATACAAAGCCTCTATATACCCAAACGGATTCAAAGTGTATACAATCCAAGCACAATCATCCTAATCAAGTGATGGCGCGAGTACAAGTCAAAAGTCAAAAACAACTAGTCTACGCTAGTCTTTACATATCTCACGTCTCGCTCGTACCCCTGTAAGGAAAACAAATGGAGTGGAATGAGCTAAAAGCCCAGTGAGGTTCCAAATAGCAAATTGTCCATTATTTATAAGTACAAGTTTTTTGATATAGCAAAGTAACGAGCATGAAGAGTTCATAAAAGTGAGCAATAACACGTCAAGTAGCAATCTCAAAATGAGCGAATGTAAAAGTTTTTCAGAATAAACAATAATCCAATAAGCAATAATCATTCCAAAGTATAAGGATACGGATGGCTCTCAGGAGCCAACTTCCCATTTCATCATCAGGAGCTTGATCACGTAATAGTTGACACTCCGTCAACTTTCAAGTAAAGGAACCAATCCAGTAGAGCACCACTTACTCTACTCTCCGTCCACCATTCAAACCCCCTACTGGGTCCAAAATTCTCAATAAATACGGGTGATAATACTCGAGTATACCGATTAGTCGAGAAGATATCACTCCACTCGACAATCAAGAGACCCAGGGTTCATTACCCAATCGATCAAGCCCTTGTCGGCTCGACTCGAGTAACTTGCCACAAGGTTTCTGGAATTCCAAGAAGTGCGCACAACATAAACAAGTATATCAATTCAATTTCAACAATAAACAAGTATATATCAAATAAGGGCAAGTGCGATAAAGTACACTCTTGCCCGATCAAACCAATCATATATCATTTAATCATATTGATCAAGTATTGGAAACAAGTGTTCAGTTCAATCAGGTATTTGGAAGCACTCACCAAAATGAAGTGCCCCTAGTAATCACGTCTGGGTTATACTCCGGGTTCGGAGTTCAAATCTGCAATAAAACTTTGTTTCAGAACTTTAAAAATCAACTAAGATTCGAAACGTAGACGTTTCGTTCAATAAGAATCAAGACATGAAAATTCACTTGGAGAATATTCGTGAAACACTCGCTCGCTTTTCAAACTATATAACTTTGTAACATTTATACTTGGAAATACCATTTGAGTCGAAAGTACAAGGAAAACGTATTTCCAGTAGTCATGGTCGTATTTCTCAAGGGTACAAGTTCGGCTAAATCCTTACTTATATACCTCGGTAAAAGAAGACGCAAATATCCTAGGTGGTTCAAGTGATATTCATTGATCAACTTTACCCAAGTCACAAGTATATTTCTCTAGTTCTCGAGCGTAAATTTGGGCAGCATGCCCTTTGTATTTACCTAATTTCCAACCATTTTTGGCTTCATTATTTTCCTCATTCGACCCCAAAGTCATACACAATATAAATTCATCACAATAGCCGTTCAATAGGCTCAAGATAATACAAGAACAAAAATCAAGCTAACAACAAGTGCGAAAATGAAGTTTAACAAGAGACAGATTTGACGGGTTTTTGCGGAATGGACACATCCGAGGCTACGCTTATCGGATTAAGGTACAATTTATACCGTTTCGAAACTAAGACGAAGGCCTACAATTTTCATGAAGATCACTTAGTCAAAATTCCAGTGTAACCTAGTCAAATTCCCAATTCCTTTAAATGGCAATATCTCAGGCTACCAAAATCCGTTTAAGGCGTTCTTAGAGGCGTTGAAAAGCTAAAACAGAGTACTAAAACTTTCATATTTTGGCAAAAGGCTAAATCAGCACGGATCATAGTGAATAGACACGGTCAACTGGATGAACTGTCTAAAACGGATCACTAGAAACATCCTAGGGCAGTGAGGGTATTTTGGTATTTTCATAGGCTACGTTGCTCCGATTGAGCTGAAATTTTGTAGACAACTATAAAACATCATTCTCTACAACTTTTATGTTTTATGCTAAGCCTAATTCAACCTCTAACATCATGAATTGGAACCGGACAGAACTGAAGTCAAATTTTCAAGAAATCTGGAATTTTACGGTTTCAAAGGGAACTTTCTTCATTTCTTGCTTCAATCACTACCACAATCACTTATATAAACTTAGATACAACATATACATCCATACAACAAGTATAGACAGCAAATACCTCAAACCCTAACTCATGTAACTTAAGAAAACATACACTATATCCATCCAAATCATGATAATAGCTATCATCCACCACAAATTTAAGGTGCTATGCCAAGTTAAACAAGATTAAGTGTAAAAAATGGGGAAATCAGCATTATTACCTTGCTAAAGTGACTACCAAGAGCATCCCTAGCTTTTCCTTCCAAAATTTCACCAACACACCACTAGCTAAACACTCAAGGAAGGTTTTAATCGGTTTAGTTTCTTGTTTCCTCACTTAATACACTCAAACTCAAGATGAAATGGTGCAGCTCTCCCTTGGTTTTTCTCTCCCTCTCTCTCGGCCAAAGCAGCAGAAAAATGAAGAAGAAAGGCAGCTCCAAAGTGATAAGAAGGCAAGACAATTGATTTTGGTCAAGACCCTTGGTTGGCCAACAAGTGTCCTCACTAATTCCACTCAATTTTTTGTTCTTTTCCTTGCAATTTTTGGTCAACATTTTAGGCCAAAGCAGCTGAGATTGAGGGGATATTTTGCTCAAATAATAATGAGCTTGTATGGTAAGAAAGTGGTGATCAAGTGGTGGGTTCAATCGATAGTACACGGTACACGTCGGTTCGCACCGTTTTTCCTTAAATCACACGTACTAGGGTTTTTTTTTACTTCCTATTCACTAAACTTTTTATCATTGCTCCTAATCACATATTATTTCTCACCTAAAAGTCACTCTTAAGCACCAAATTTGATCATCGCTCCGTACCGGATAATTACACTACGGATACACGAAAAATTCTATGTCACTTCAAATTGAAATCGGAAAGGAAAACCCTAATTTTCTATGATCATTGGCACTTTTTTAGGTGATTGAGTAGGAGGATAGTGTAAAATAATAATTGCCAAATAATTTTCAAATAAAAGGAAATTTTTAAGGAAAATGAATGGGATTTTACAATTCCATAAATTGAATTTAGGGTTTCGGTTAAAATTTGAGAAATTTGAGAAAAGGGTTAGTCACAAGTAAAAACTAGGGTTTTGATTAGACTTTAGGGTTTCTAGTCTTTAAAACAAAACAATGTCTTAAAATAAAAATAAACTAAAGGAAGCATAATATTTTTTTTTCTTTTGAAACTAAACAACAATAGTATCCTAAAAGTTGGGGTATCACATCTTCACCATAGTTAAGCCACCATTCAGCTAAACAAACAAAGTAATAGTAATAATAATTTATTATTATTATTTTAAAATTATAAAAATATTAACTTCATTAATATGATTTAGATGTTTATATAAGTATGAATTAAGTTGAAACCTGGTAAAGATTTTGGTAACGCTCTTGCTGCAATAGCACTTCCAAACCCTCCTTTTTTTTCTACAAAAATTTTGATCTACAAAAATAGTATATACACTGGTGTTAAAATTTTAAAATTTGTTCATTAATATAAATAAATAAAATAATCAAAAGAATACCTCATTTATTGAATCAACTTGTGCATCTAAATTTGGCTCAAACTTTGCAATGACTTTCTTCAACCTTTTTCGAACTTCATCCAGATTAAACTCACAAGTTCCAAAATATTGAAGGATCGGGTTCAAAAAATATGCTAAATACAATAAAATAACAAAATTAGAAAATAAATAAATACATATATATTACATTTTTTTTAAACTAATCTGTTTTATTCAATCAATTGCGGTCCAAATGGATACACAAAGAACCAAGGCTCCCGAATTAGCCAACCTCTTAGACTAGCCTACTTTCCTCCTCCTGAACGAAGGCATGCCTAACCTATCTATGCGAATTTTTCCCCGCGCCTGTCTTGGAATTGCACATATCTAAATTGGATGTAATATTTTAAATTACCTGGTAAATCACAATGAAGTTGATTGTACGATCTATTATCAATCACTTCCCAAATCGTTTTTCCAGATTTCACCGACTTTTGAACAGCCATTTTTGCTCTATCCATTGCCTCATAAATAATTGGCAATGTTGGCTTATTATCTTGATCAATAGTTTTTAAAACTTTAACCAGAGGCTCCATTATTGCACACACATTTCTAACTTTTTTCCAAAACTTCTCTGACAATATCAACTCAGCTACTTTAATAGCTTCTACTTTTCTCTTGGTAGTGTTATTGAACTCTGCCCATTCATCTGAGGTACACATTTTTTTCAGTTCTGTAGAATGCCGAAGAAGACTTTTCATAGAAATGAAGTCAGTTGCAAATCTAGTGATACCTGGACGTAGCAGTTTCTTTTTTCTTGTATATGTCTTCATCAGATTCACTACTTTGTCGCTATTATATATGAAACTTGTTATCTTCTTCCCCTAAGCAATAGTTTCTTTTACATTATCTATTTTGCCAATATCCTCCAACATCAAATCTATACAATGAGCAGCGTAAGGTGACCAGAATAGATTTTTTCTTTTTTTCATCAACAGTTGTCCAGCTGCTTTCATACTAGATTCACTATCTGTCACAACTTGCACAACATTTTTTTCTACCACAACCTCTACTACCTCATCCATTAACTTGAAAATATATTCGACAGTTTTCTTGACATTGGTACAATCAATTGAACTATGGTTTATCATGTGCCTATCACAGTATACCATAAAATTTATTATTGGATGTTTTGTACGAGTGCTCCACCCATCACACATAAGTGTACGATCAAAAGTTGAAAATTTATCATAAATATCTCCAAAATATTTCTCAAGCTCTTCAAATTTTTCGTCTAAATATTCATTTCCAATTTGAAAAGCTGAAGGCCCTTTAATACCAAAACCAACTTTGGCAATTTCATCAATTATTGATTGATAATAAAGATTGTCAGCTGCATGAAATGGTATAACATTGAAATGAAAAAACTTTGAAACTGCCTTACCAATTCCTCTGCTTGTCATTTCATCCGCTTGTCTGACACTGAAATTACGTGACAATTCTCTTTTATTTTCAGAAGTCGTTGGTTTTGAAGTGCCAGCACCCACATTTCCTAAAATTCACAATGTTTAACAAATAAAAAATGAATAAATAAATTACAACTTTATTTAATTATATTTAATAAAATGATATCAAATTTGTTATAATATTTTAGTTTACAAATGATACTTAACATAAACATAGAAGGTCAACTCCCAAATACTGAATGCCTTCGTTGTTCATCTAAAAATTGCAAGTATGGGCTCTCTCTAATTGCTTGCTTTATATGTTTTTTTTTCCAATGCCATCCTACTTTCTTCATCAATTTCAAAAATGTCTTCGTCCTCCTCGTCGCCAACCATGTTGAAATTACTATACATATTTTTTTCTTGGAGAGAGTTCAATATTTCTTCTTTTTTCTGTTTTATTGTAATTCGTTGAATCTTACCAGCCTTTAGATGCATTTTCATTACATCTCTAACTTCTCTTGAGGCCCTTGGACAAGGTTCAACTTGGCCCGTGACATGACCGACATGTTCTTTCAACCTTGTAATGTCACCATGCATTACTTTTCTACAATAATTGTATCTCACAATTTTTCTATTCTCACCCACGGGTTTATTATGTTCCTAACCAATATCCTTGCTCGTCATTGTAACTATTACACGTGTCAATATAAATGATTAATACATCACAAAATAATTAAAGATATATGAAAAAAATACAACAAGTAGTTTCTGACATTTTATAATAGTAATAATTTATTTCTATTATATTAGTAAGTTAAACATCTAATCTATAATGTAAACCTGCAACAATGATCATTTTTTCATTTATTAAAAGAACTTCAAAATTTTAAATATTTATTAAAATTATTACTGCATTTTAGAAAATTTTATATTAAAAGATCTAACAGTTATTTTAATATTTTCAATAAATATCAAATGAATTTGAACTAATTTATTATGTACTTTGAATTATATGTGAGATAAGTGTTAAACTTATGTTTGGCCCAAAATAAATTTCAACAACACAATTAGCTAGATAAATCTAAATTTCTAAATTTTATTTTGGACACAATCATAATTAATCCAACCTTGGCCTATTACATAAGGGCTATAATTAATCCAAATATGTTTCTAATTCATACCTGCTAATAAGTATAGAAAACTTAAAGAAATAAATTCCATCATTTGGTCATGCTGCTATATCGGATACATATATACCAATATATCAATGTTTTGCAGAAAGTCTGGAATCTTCGGAAGTATCCATTTATTATAGTGCAGCTAATTAAAGAGTAGGATCCAAATCACAGATATGAATGCAACTTTGCAAATTTCTCCCTCAAAAAATAGAGCGAAACTTGACCAAAAAAGATGTTAAACTTAACAAATTGCAGCATATCTGATGAACAAAAGTATAGGAAAATGAACAAAACCAACAATAAAGACAAATGTCATATACATTCGTCTCCATGTACCTTTCGGAGTGGAATCAACACAAAAAGACCAATGAAACTAATTGCACAGAGATAACCGATCATCCAACTAATCCCAGGTTCCTTGTAGCTGCCCGGAAGATTTCCCGCAGTGCTTACTCTTGCCTGCTCATATGTCTTCTTATTTAGAGCTAACAGATAAGAACCAAATCCGCATGAAAGTTCGAAAACAAAGCAAAAGAGTTTAGAGAATCAGACAGTACTAAGAAAAGAAAAGTAAAGTGAAGGTACATATACTTGAACCAAGTTGGAATAATATAAACGCATCTTTTCACGTGATCAGTACTGTGGCAAATTTGTTTCTATTTCCTAATGAATGATTTCGATATTGACTTCTCCTTTTCGTGTGTTGGGATCTAACTGTAGTTTTTACTTCAAGGGTCGATGTAATTGAGCTGCGGTCCTAGTGCTTCTCCCAATTATGTCTGGTGTTTCGGATGAGCTTGTCCCAATTATATCTGGTAATAGAATAGGGAACAACTATGATTAATCTAAAAAAAGGCCCCACGAAGTCTTTTATAACGTGCCAATCACTCGCATCTCTTTCCCTGTATGAAGGAGCATCAGTACTAGCATACTTGACAGGAGATTGACACAGGCGGTAGAGAGGTCTTCAGATTTCCCTTTTTTAATCCTTTTTTTTCTAAAGATTTTTTGTTGAATTCAGCTTGATTCGGGATAATTCGGAGTGACTCGGTGTGACTTGATCGTTTCAATCCGTCGCGGTGAAGTCTCGACCGATTTTTCGGCGAGTCAAGTATCTCGGTATCGTATCGGACTGAGCCGAGACGGTGACGACTCGGCTCAGCCGAGTCTTCGAACCATGGTCACTACACGTTGGTTCTTTTACGGTGAGGGGATGATTGTTATTGGACCATCAAGTCAAAGGGGGTAATTGTAATATTTAAAATTTGAGGGGATGTAATGGTAATTTGGCCAAACCACAAAAGAGGTGAATGTAATTAACCCTTCTTTGAACTGCATGACCATTAAGGGAAAACGTTTTGTTATGTAGTTTTGAGTACATTCCTAATTCTGAGGAGGCTCCTAATACTTTGGGCCACAGCTAAGTCACAGTAGACAGACGCTTCTATTCTGCTATTTTTTCCACCCATCTATAGTTATAAATAGTGACTAATTTTTCAACTTGTTCTTCAATAAATAAATATGGATATGCAATTTTATTAGTTTCAAGCGGATAACCTAATTAAGCCCATTAATTAATAGCTATTAAATAGATAGCTTGGGACTACCTATTTAGAACTAATTAAATTAGACGTAGATTCAAATTCATCAGTAAGTAAATCTAAATTACTACCAATACAATAATTATATTCTTTTCGTGAGCACTTGAGAAATACTTGTAGCCATTCAATAAGATTCAATTTCCCGATAGCGAAAACCATAACTGAGGACAATAGCCTGCTGAGACTCTTGCAAGAGGCACCAAATGATGCAACACAAAACAACTCCCTCAAACTGGTTTCAGCTACCCGCTCCACTTCAATTAATCTCATGGAAGATTTCACATGGAGCACAGCTAAATTCATACGAGAGATGAGACATACTATAGCAACAACCAAGCATTAGAAAAGTTTCACCAACTGAAAAGGATCCGATTCTTTTTGAAAGCTACCTTGATGAGATGATGGTTTTTCTGTTGGGGAAGGGGGATATGGGACAAAGAGAATGCATTCACTTTACTGAAGGGGAGTGCACTTACAAGTTACCATCTTCCAGTAAATAAAAATACGGTCCCAATAAGAGTGACTACTTCTTGTAAAGAATAAGGATAAACAAATAGTAGATTGTGAAAAGACTGCAACAAATTTCTGACAGGAAACTGTCAGTACTTTAACAAGTAAACAACAGCAATAGAAGTTCTGCCACCTAAATACTTGCTGTTTCATGTGAGCTCTTCAACCTTTTTTTCACGTCAGTCAATTATCTGAAACCCAATTTCCATAACTCTTTCATGATTTCTATTTGCATGTAAGGTATGAAGGAGAGAACTTAAGGCGGAAAGAGCTCAACATCCCTGGCAGATCTTATCCCTCGAAGAAGACTTTTTGCTTCTTCCTTTTCCTGCATCAGGGTCAAAGAAGTGTCACTCAGTAAATCAAAACCAATGAGTATGAAACTAATCTGAGATTAGATTAAGGAGAACAGGTTCAGGACTTACCGGGCCAGTATAATCTAGAAGACGGGTACAATACACCTCTGCTTCTTCAAACCTCTTCTGATCTTTGCAATATCTGGCCAAAAAAGACAGAGCTTCAACCATGTTTGGCCCTTCCCTTTCTTCAGCTTCCATCCTCTCCAAATCCTTCTTGTAGTAAAATGCTGCCTCTTCAAAACGATCAAGTTCTCGTGCAACTTGGCTAGCTGATGAAGTGCAATCGCTTCCCGGTCATTACAATTCACAGCCCTTTTGAAACACTTAATTGCCTCCTCAGGCATGTGAAGCTCTTCTGATTTGTAACACTGAGCCATGGCAATCCACAACCGAGAATCATTTGGCTGCAAGAACACTGACTTCTTAAAGTAATGCAGTGCATAAAAGGGCATTCCCATCATCTCATATGTCTGGCCCAACCCATACCAGGCCCGATAATCACACGGATTAATATCTACGCCCTCCGATAGGCATCAACAGCTGCTGGGGTGTTTTTCATCTCAACATATTCGTGACCCATTAATGTCCAAGCTGATAAATAATTCTTATTTAATTTAAGCGCCCTTCTAAAATACATAACTGACTTCTCATGCTGCCCCTTGAGACTGTAATAGTTTCCAATTATACAACAAGATTCTGGTCTATATTTATCCGTCAAAAATACTCTATGTGCAAGGTAACTCAAAGCTGAGAAACACTCCTTTGCATAAAGCACATTGGAATACATATCCATGTCTTCAACTCTGTGCGGGTCATTCCTCAGAAGTTCCTCAAATATAACTTCAACTTGTTCAAATTCCCTCAGACTATACTGAGCTTTAGCAATTTGAGCCTGTACGTAATTGCTGAAACTGAAAGTTCCTTGTATATATTCATATTTTGCCAATGACTCGTTATGCAAACGAAGTTCCTGATACGCGTTGGCAAGAAAGAAGTCTTTCATCCAATGGTTAACGAGATGAAGACCATTCAGTATTTCAACTGTAGTACACAGTGACTGCAGCTCAGACCAAGCACTCCAGTTCCAAGGGTAATTGTTTACAGACTCTACAAGAACAACCCGAGCAAGACCCTCATTGCCTTTTTCCTTGAGAACGAGACCATACAGAAAAAGACAAAACGAGTCAATTGTTCCACACTTGCGAAGTCCTGACAACTCCCTCTCAAGTGAAATTAGTTCTTTATTTACAGCATCACTCTTCCCTAAAGGTCCCTCTAGTTCCATCGTCTCCTCTTCCTTGCGCTTTTCACCAGCCTATTGAAGGAAAAGTAGAAAAGTATGACCAAACTGTACAGGAATCTAAGAAACCAACTTCGCCTACAACAAGCAAACTACTAAAGTTAACTTTTCAATAACAAGCACAATCACTATGCCATCCCAGATTTAAACTTTAAATTATAGCAGGTCGAGTTGAAGATTGGCATTGGAAATCAAGGATAAGCTTGTTAGCATACAGAAAAAGTGAGGCCATAGTAAGTATGACAAGCACTACTAAATCTAAGAACTAACTTGAAAAATAAGCATGGAACCAAACTATTCAAATTTACTTTCCAACAAGAAGCATAATTACAACTTGGACCGATTGATTCTTTAAATTTTTTTTGGGGGGGGGGGGGTGTAGTTGAAGGATGGCATCGGAACTCAAAACACAAGAATGTTATCATACAGTCCTCATATTTCATTATATCATCCTCCAAGCTTCTAAAATAAAGTATTGGCTATGATCATTACTGGTCAGCTAGATTTGTCAATCTTCTATTAATTTCTATAACTTTGCACTTCACACAAAATTAGACATTTCAACAGCTTGAAACTTTTACAGCCAGCCAAAATTGGAACCCATAATTGAAATTTAGCCCTCCAACTCCAAAGGTGGTTCAATTGTTAA